ATATGCGAATATTAAACGCCAAAAACAATGGCCCAGTCCTAAAAAAAAATCACTTCCGACCCCAAAACCTGGACTCCATCCACAGAAAGCGATGCTTTGCATTTGGTGGGACATCAAAGGAGTAAAACAAGGAACTTTATTTATGTAAATTTTGAAAGTATGTTCAAATAGAGTCATGTGTTTTGAATGAGTGTTGTTAATTATTCATAAAAGATGCAAATATTTGCAGAATGATCTAGAAAATTTATTACAAACAGGCAAATAATTGTATGGAATAAAAGAATTAACGACTTATTGTGAACAAATAACATGATATTTATAGTAACTATTTTCTATTGAGAATTTGAAATATTCTTTTTCTTATGTACATGAATATTTTCAATCATTCTGCAGTTAACAACTTATGATTGAGAAAGAACAATGACTCAGAATGACTTTTCATTTGAATTTATTGTCATATGTTTCGCAAACACTTTTACAATTGAAAACATATTGCTGTATGACATTACTTTTTCTAATCAGATACCGTTTCAGTAATCAACTTTTGGTTTTCAGACTATTTTCTATTAATCAGTTTTTAATTACAGTAGCTATATATCATTCACTTTGTTACCCTAATCCTGTTGTTTATATTCATGATGTTAAGAAATCACAAAACAAAAAGTTCAGTATTTTAGTTTGTTTGTTTTTATTCTTCTTGTTTTTTTTTTCTTGCCCCTTGTAACTTTAATATTAGCATATACAAAACTTCTCAGTTTTAACTTTTTATAAATATTTATTACAAAAACATCCAATTCCAAAATTAAGATTTCACGATTTTATAAAGCCGTGTAGTTTAAACTTAGTTAACTTTTTTTTTCCTCTTCAAGTTTCTTGTAGCTTCTACATTTCCATTTCTCTAATCTACATGACAAATGCAAAATTGGGTACTACGTACCTAGAAGGAATGTTTATTTCAAGGGGGATCTTTACATATTAATTCTGATTAAATTACTTTGGGATCTACTGAGGAAAGAGGGAAGCAAATATATAGTTGGTTAAAAAAAATAAAAAAGGAAGTGCATATAGCTTAGCTTGTAGATGCAGAAAGAACCATACGAAAGAAACCGGTCGTATAGTTCAAACAAGAGAGAATGAAGAAAACAAGTCCTACTTATACGTTCAGCCAGTTTTCATAAAATGTTCTGTATCTAATCATAATTGCCAATTCAAAAAATACATTCTGTGTGATCCAACCCGTGTTTTGAAATTAGAAATGTCCTCCGGTGGGTTAGCGGCAAGTTTATGGACATATAACGCTAAAATCCAGGGTTCAATTTCTCGCGGCGGACAAAGTGCACCTAGCTCATTGTGCAACTTTGCACTAAAACGACAACATACAAAAAACTAGAGAAAAAGTCCCCTATATTTAGGGATTTTGTTTGTTTGTTTTCAGCGCGAGGAATCGAACTCCAGATTTTAGCTATGTAAGTCCGTAAACCTACGACTGATCCACAGTATAACCGACTATGTAATTAAGAAATTCAGACTAATAACTCAATGTCCGAATAGAGACTAAGAGACTGAAATCAGTCTTATAGGTTTTGAATAAAGCGATTGATATATGACATTGGTATATGACACTCTGGTAATATTTGTAACCATTAATATCGTTGCTTATTAATTGAATTATGGATTAAATGTTATCTTTATTGATATATAATTTAGTTTCAGTCCCCTGTATCCGGGTGGCTCAGCGGTATGTCTTGGGCTTTTCACTAAGTACTCATTAAGAATAATATATGAAACAATTTACCCAATATTGTAACTTTAAAGCATAAGATAAATTACTCAGGCATATCTTAGTGTTTGACCAGGTAGCAGGACGGTAAGGGGGAAAAAACTAATGTTTATTGTAATATTGTTTGTTTTTGTTTGTTTTTTGGAATTTCGCGCAAAGCTACACGAGGGCTATCTGCGCTAGCCGTCCCTAATTTAGCAGTGTAAGACTAGAGGGAAGGCAGCTAGTCATCACCACCCACCGCCAACTCTTGGGCTACTCTTTTACCAACGAATAGTGGGATTGACCGTCACATTATAACGCCCCCACGGCTGAAAGGGCGAGCATGTTTGGTGGGATGCGGATTCGAACCCGCGACCCTCAGATTGTGAGTCGAGCGCCTTATCCACCTGGCCATGCCGGGCCCCTTATTGTAATATAAAATATTAAGAAGTAACCCATGAAATTGGTAACTCGTTAAGTTGATACATGTCAACAGAGCAGTAAAGTGGACATATGTCAAAAAAACTACGTTGTGATAAATCAATGAAGAACACTAGTTGGAATGAAAATATTGGGCTTTGCTGTAGTAAATGTCTGCAGTACCAGAGAAACTTGGTTCTAGCTAGACGGGGTATTATCTTGTACTTCAAAAACTCACTCTATCAAACTATGAGCTTCAGCAGTCACGTGATACGTGTAAGTATTTTTAACACGTTGATAAGTTGAGGCCGTACGTCACTGACAAGCCTCTGGTGCTCTGTAAGGATTAGAATTTAGAGATGGAAGAGATTAATGGACCAGAATGTATGTAAAAATATTGTGCCAACTGTGTCTAACTTTCTGAGTGACGATGAAACTAATGTTCCGAGTACTTAAAATTAGATATGGGTGAAGGTCTAAAAACATTGTAATGGTACACCTGCCCAGGAGAATGGCCATGAGAATAACACCAATCTTGTAACGGTACACCTGCCCAGGAGAATGGCCATGAGAATAACACCAATCTTGTAACGGTACACCTGCCCAGGAGAATGGCCATGAGAATAACACCAATTATGTAACGGTACACCTGCCCAGGAGAATGGCCATGAGAATAACACCAATCTTGTAACGGTACACCTGCCCAGGAGAACGGCCATGAGAATATGGGTACTAATGGGATTTCTCAAGGTTACTATTTCATTACATAGAGCATACATACATTCTCTGGCATACAGCAAAAACAAAAACAATTTATATTTATAGCTGGGAAAGCATTATTTCTATAACTTCTATAAATCAATAAATGATTTGTTAACTTTCATAAGTCTCTCACAGTGCATCGCGCGAGTACACCTGCTAGTAGTTACAAATATTAGCATGCAATCGTTTGTTTGTTTGTTTGTAATTAAGCACAACGCTACACAATGGGCTATCTGTGCTCTGCCCACCACAGGTATCGAAACCCGGATTCTAGTGTTGTAAGTCCTCAGACATGCCGTTGTGCTAGTGGGGGGTGGGGCAGCAAATGAACATGGATATAGTCCCACAGTAAATAAATCAGTAAATGTAGCTATGTAGCTAATGAGAAGAAAATGAAGCAAGTATAAAATACAATAAATGTTTTATTTTTTCTTTCTGTTGTTTCTTCAATTGATTATATTTATATTTATAACTTAATGAGGAAAGACGAGTTTTCTTCAATGTCAGTTTTTGTTGTACTCTGCTGTTTGGGGAATATCCATGATTTGATCCAGTTTTATGTCTGATTGGAGGACACGAGTTTTGTCCTTCAAATATTCCTAAATTACGATATCGATAAGTTTTATAAATGAGATAATATATGTATTCAACATCTTGTGTAATTTCTTTGTTGTTTTTTTTATCCCCTTATTTCTTACAAAATATTTTTATTACCTACGCACAAATATTCGTCAGCTTACGGTTATCTCAGTTTTTACACCATTCAAATTTCAAATCACAAACCAAACAAGCACTCAACCTTAAAGTTTCTAAAAGTTTTAACAAGTATTATAGTTTTATTATATTCTGCCCTTGTTATTAATGTAAATTTCATGTAAATACAGGCACCAATCCAAAATTTAAGCAACGATAAATCAGGTCCGGTGCTAAGAGGATGGGCCGTGCACTCCAAACTTTCACTCTGGCCTACCCAAGTTCATTCTTTTTAGCGGTTTAAAAATCGTGTGATTTTCTCTTAATCGCTAACAGTAAAAAGAACCAATAAAAACTCCAGTGAGCTGGGACTGGATCTGCGATAAATCGGTATAATTAAACAAATAATATATGTGATGTATTGATGGCTATTGTTAGAAAGTCTGAAAAAGAAATGCTATTTGGACTCATAACAACCATTTTTTTAAGTATTCTAAAGCAATTTAATGGATTATCATATCTTTATGTCTTCTCTTAGTCTAACATCAATTATCATTGAAAACTTTCAGACATACTCACATAGCAACGTTTTTCTTATGCATCTTTTTCAAAACAAATACATTCGCATTTGTCTAGCAAGGATTTGAATTTGATATTTTGAGTTCATTTCTGATGAACAACAGTTTTCGATTTTTGATTAATCAAGCATAGCGCTACATACTGAACAAGTATTAGGCTACTGCACTGAATTATACCTCGTTGATTTATGTTTGACATAGACATTGCATCAAAATTATGATTCAGAACGATGGTTATTTTCAAAAGTAAGAATGTTGCAAGAAGCTTTACTAAAATATATTCATTAACTAAATCCTGCATCCCTATTTTTTTTTTTTTTTAATTGGGGAGGTGGGGGAGTTTAGATGATAACTTTTTGTTTTGGTATGAAAAACCTGGTACTTTAACTTAAAGTTTATGACTTAAGTTAAATCTGTACTGAAATTTTAAGACAATCTTGGCAAATACCACAAGACCAGGCTATATCAGTATATGTTTATAAATTATAGGGATACTCTGCTTTCTGAAAGTGAAAGAAAACCTCAGAACTATCTACTGTATAATAAATACTCCATATTGACCGTAGACTAGTGTAGTCCACAGACTATTTTAAGTGAATATAGGTGGCTAATACTTACGACTAAGTACGTACTATTACTATAGTATTATTAGAACTAAGTACGTTAAGCCTGCTTGAGTCTTTGGACCTGTTTGGTTCTCAGGTTTTGTTCAGTTTATCGAGTTAAATAGAAGTGTTACGTGATATGTAGTATGAATACTGCAAAAGTATCAAATAGTTATTTATTATTAATTTAGGTAATTTACCAGTTTTATTTCCTTCTCTTTCTTTTTGTCCTTTACTTTAGTTTTAGGCAAATATTTCTGTTATTCATGCCCTCTGTATCATATGCTGTTACTGTTATGCTTATAGTATTACTATTACTAGTGTTACACTGCAAAGTAAAAGTTACTAAACATTAAAACAGCACATTTATTGATTTAATGCTTTAAGAAAATGTAGGTATAAACTCTAATTATCACAGGTGTGAATAATACATTAGAAATCGTCTATTGATGTATTTTTCAGAAGTAATAATACAGCAACCATATCTGTGATAATTTCATTTGCTTGAGCAAAGGGACATGGAAAACAGAAAGAAAATGTTATAGTAATGCTAACAGATAACTACTTGGATGTACCATAACAAATATTTGGTACTGCATGTGAAAAGTAACCAAAGACTAAGTAGTCTTACTTGGATAGTATTAGTTGTATCAGCCAAGCATTGTATACCTCAATATTATAGTACTTGAAAATGATGGCAAACCATGGAATTGGAATTGGACCACTGTGCCTGAGTTTATAATTATAAATTAATATATTGTGTGATCCATGTTTATATAATTTGTTTAACAAGAAAAGTACAAGATCTTAGCCATGAGATATAAACATGTCTCAGTGCCATGGCCTAATGAATCACTTGTGTTTTACCTGTTCTTATATTTTATTCTCATTTTTTGCAATACAGTTATCATTTTTTATAAAAACAATTTCTGTTGATAATGATACATCCTTCAAGGTTTTGTTAAACAGTCTTGTGAATCAGAAAAACATCATATTAATGAGATCAAATGTGGTGAATAGTTATCCACGTCTCACTAATTGGTGACAACAAGCACCAAGACATTTATTTTAGTAAAAAGTCTGCCGTGCGAGGGAGTAGTAGCTTTAAAACAACCTAATTTACTGAAAAATATAAAAAATATATGTACAGATATGCAATTGTTTGAGACCAAAGCCCAATAAAAAGTCAACAGCTCATTGGTCTGACAGCTTTTATTTTTACATGAAAAGTATATATATATATATAGATATATGTATATACAAACATTTCTCTTATACTTTAACTCTCATTGTCCATGAATCTCACCAAAAAACAAAAAACCAGGAAAGCTCACTCAACATGGGATAATACATAATTGTAATATAAAGACATTAAATTTTAAAAAATCATTCATAAGGATAAATCTTTATTTTAATATAAGTCCCATAAATCAAAAACTTTCAATAATAATGCTCAGTTCTTGTAGTTAGTAAATGCAGTTATATACCTTGATCAATAGGGCTGATCTCTTGTACCATTATACTTGACACGTTAATTTGCTACAGTTTCATGTCTCTAAATTTGTCGAATATTTCAAAATTTTTCAGTGAACTAAGTTGTTTTAACATGTTGGCTGCCACCTAATAAATTATGTATAAATAGAATCCCTGTCCCACCAAACATGCTTGCTCTTTCAGCTGTGGGGGTGTTATAATGTGACAGCCAATCCCACTATTTGTTGGTAAAAGAGTAGCCCAAGAGTTGGTGGTGGGTGGTGATGACTAACTGCCTTCCCTCTAGTCTTTCACTGTTAAGTTAGGGACAGCTAGCGCAGATAGCCCTCATGTAGCTTTGCACAAAATTCATAACAAACCAATTTAAAGTAAAAATATTGCTTAAAGCTTAATGTGCAATAGAAAAACAGGAAGATATTTAATGCAATAGTAAGAGCTCTGTTTTATACAGCTACTTGTATTAATTTGTTATTTTGTATTAAATACTTATTTAGACCTTTCATGCAATGTTCAAAATCTAGTAATTATATTTTAACAAATGTATTTTAAATGAAGTCAAAATATTGCCCTTCCACAAAAAGTCTACGCCTAAAAAATTCTTAATTGTCTCTGATTTAGTAAAATCATCACTATATAATACTTTTTAAATTCAAAACACAAAAATATATGAAGTATGCGTGTAAAAATATTTCTTTATATTTTCATGTCTGATTTTTTAAATTAATTATTAGTTTATGCCTGGTCTCAGATTTTCACACAAATTAATTTGAAAATTATTTAAAATATACTATATTAAGCAAAATTTTTTTTTAACCTTAGTACTAGGTTTTGTTGTCTTAAATTTACAATAAAAAAGTTGTTGTATTGTATTCCTGAAGGTTGATCTGTTTAGAATTCATCGACGAAATTATATCGTGCTATTAAGAAAAAGTATTGTTAGCTACCATGCGCCTGTTTGGTATCCTACAGTCTTTGTCTCGCCTTCCAAAAGATTATTCAAACTTTCCTAAGCAATATGTTGAACGGGCAATGGAACAAGTTGGTTGGAGGACTCCTAAAGGTCCGCAGTATTTAAGGAAGGAAATAAAGAAGAAAAAATTTCGTTATAATATGTCAAGACCCTGGACAGAAGAATTTAGGAAAGCAAATGAACCTGGAACACATAGGAAAAAGATATTTCTTGAACCAGTTAAAGAATGGTCATTTTTCCGCGGAGATCGGGTGAGTTGCATAATTTCATCATTAATGTATGTATACTTTTTTTTTTAAGTTGAGAACTTGTCATCTTATTGTACATTTAGTTTTATTTTCATCACTGAAAATAAGCTTGTTTGATAATAATTACATAAAAGTAGCAAGAAAAATCAGATGACTAGACAAATGAGGACTTATAATCTTGTATTTAATACTGATTTATATTTCATGCATTCCTATTCTCAACACTTTTTCTAAAACTGATGATAAAAGATATATATAACAAGTAATTTAAAAGTCCTGTGAATTTAGTGTTTAGAATGAGCTGTGATAAGCTTCTAAGAATATTGACTCTCAATTATATTTTCCTTTAATTTGTTAGTTTTACAAGTATTAAAACATAAGACAAAGTATAAGGAAAGAATGTTTTCCAAATACTTCTATTTTTTTTTTATTTTGTTTCTCAAGATTACTTCCACTGGTGTTTGTATTTTTTATTTTTACTTTAAAGTATTATTTTTTGCATTGTACATGTTTAATGCTCAAGTCTAAAATTGTTATTTTTATAGGTGGAAGTTATGGTTGGAAAAGACAAAGGAAAACAAGGAATAGTCAACTATATTGTTAAAGAACGAAACTGGGTTGTAGTGGAAGGACTTAATTGTGTAAGTGTGTGCTTGTAAAAAGGTTTTGTGTGTATTTTAACTCTGGTACTGTGTATAGTGGTAATAGATAATATTTTTGCCCATTACTTCTATGGGGTGATATGTTAATGTAACTGCTTCACATTTGAATGGCATTTGCCAATATGACCATTTTCTATGGCTGGAAATATTACAGATGGCCATTTTTATAGCTACTTTGTTAACAACTAAGGCTTAACTTTTATCCCAAGTTCTCATACAAGTCACTGACTTTTTTTAAAACAATTTAGTATTTAAATTATTTTTAAAATTTTTTTAAAAAGTGTAATATTTGTAACTTTTCTAACCCTTAGATTAGTTAATAATTAGTCAAATTGCCTGAGTGCACTGTTTATGTGATGTAATTTTTTTCTCCTTAAGGTGATTAAAATAGAACTTATACTTAACTCAAAACTGTTGCAAATTTTATTCATTAAAGAAATTAGTTTTAATTTTTTTATTTCTACTTACCTTTGGATTATAAAACTGCATTTTCTCATGGCTTAAATGAATATGTCATTTTTGCTTTGGATATTTGAAATATTGTGTGCATTTGTAGTCTGTAGACTCGTAACTTTTGTAAATATTCTTTATGTGTATGTATTCTTCCTGCAGCATTACAGGTTCATTGGTAAACAGAAAAATTCTCCAGGTGTGTTAGTGCAGAGCGAAGGGCCTTTACTGGTGACTGGTCAGGTGTCCCTTGTAGACCCCTCAGACAAGTATGCATATATAATATATTTTTGTTGGAAACAGTTGTTGGTGAATTTCTTTGATGATACATTATAAGCACTTGCCACATACACACACACAACTTATTTCTGTATTGATATTTTTATCTTTCAAAATTAACCCAAGTCTTATCTTTGGATAGTAATACAAAGTTTAGAATTTTATTGAATAGTCAACATGGTTTCACTAAGGGAAAATCTTGCCTTACAAGTCTTTTGACATTCTTTGAAAAGATTACTGCTTATGTAGATGAGGGTAAGAGTATAGATTTGGTGTAAAAAAAATTATCACTAGAGGTGTGGGGGATAAGTTAGCAAATTGGATAGAAGAGTGCCTGGATGGAAGAAAGAAAGCAGAGGGTTGTTACAAATGGAGTTCAGTCAAACTGGATTAATATCACAAGTGGAGTACCTCAGGGCTCAGTCCAAGCAATGTGCTGTTACTAGAGATAGGGCAAATAGGATTTTAGGTTGTATGTACAGAAATATTGAATGCAAGTCTAAAGAGGTTACAATTTCATTGTACAGGTCACTGGTTAGGCCACATTTGGAGTATTGTGTTCAGTCTTGGGCTCCTTACCTTAGGAAAGACATTGAATTGTTGGAAAGGGTTCGGAGAAGGGTTACTAGAATGGTGCCTGGGATGGAGAGGTTGTCATACAGGTTGACGATCACTAGTAATTCAACCTGGAACATTTTAAAAGCCCTATTAACTCTATCCATACTGCCGATCACTAGTAATTCAACCTGGAACATTTTAAAAGCCCTATTAACTCTATCCATACTGCCGATCACTAGTAATTCAACCTGGAACATTTTAAAAGCCCTATTAACTCTATCCATACTGCTGATCACCTTCTAGGTGTCAAGTGCATGCCTGCAGATCAAATTTCAAATCTAACAATAATAATAACTCTATTTCAACAGTGTTTACTTTTAAAATAAACTAAAATTTTTATTTTGCTATTGGAGTAATTCAAAGAAAGAATGAAAAATAATTTCCAACGTTCATTTCTGAGAAGTTCTAAAGAGTCTTGCCTATAAATAGGGTATTTATAGAATTTTTCTAACCATCCTAAAGTATAGATTTATAGTAACTACAAAACTATCATTGCTTGAAAACAAAATGATTCATGTCTTGTTATTCAAATGATATTCCTTCATTACCTCCACCACTGAAGGTGGAGGGAGATTATATTTTCACCCCTGTGTGTGTTTATCAGCAAGATTTTTCAAAAACAGCTGAATGGATTTGGACGAAATTTGGTATACATTTGTACTATGACTCAACTTAGAGGTTATTACGTTTTGGAAGGTTAATGTCATGAAAATAAAAAAAAATCCCTATTTGTTAACAGGGGGACCACTTTTTCATGCTATTTTTGCTCTATAACAGTCAAAAACCATCAGAGTTTGATGAAACTTGGTGAACATATGTAGAATATTATTCTTTACTGTCCTGCAAAAAATGGTCCATGTCCAGTGATGACAGTGAACAATCCTTTTATGACGTCACAGCATGTAGTCTGAACAATTACTAATGAAACTCAGCTTTGAAAACAGCCCAATTTAATGGCTAAATACTAATGAATAGAGTATGTTATAAACTATGTACATCAGTATTTAGAGTAACTAAAGAAGTAATTTGTAATTTCTCAAGAAATTGGCAAGTTAGAGCATGTGTAGTGGTGAACAGAGAAATCACATGGGAAGTTTAAGGGACTTTTCTGGCATTTCTATAGACTTTTTTCATTCCTTAAAATGCTTCTGTGTTAAATTATATGTGTTGGAAATATACTGGTTAAAATATATAAGTAAGCTTATTTAGGTTTAGCAAGTATGGTAGGTTATAACAAAATATTCTACTGGCTCAAATTCGTTTTCACTGAAGTTTATTTTTAAGTATCATATTCAAACAATGCACATAAATGAAAGAATTTTTTATTTGTTAAAAGAACTGTATATATTACACATAAATTGATCTCAACCAAGACTATTGCTGAAAAAAATCACAATACCTAGCCAGACAAAGGTAACAAAGACAGCACTTTGAAAGTTTTTGCCATTTTTTAGACAGTTAAAGCTGGAACTGTTATCTCAGCAATATGAAGTATCAAACTAAGATATGTGTATGAATAATAATCAAATTTAAACTGACCTTATATATATAATACAACTTTCTAACTAACAGTAAAACAATTTTTAATTCTAAGATGAAACGAAGGATTTTTAAACATATTTTTCAAAATAGTGTTCACAATAAAATTTTAGAAATTTCATAAGCTTCAAGGTGATTGAAATACTAAACCAAATAATACAATTTAAAAAACAAAACTAAAAAACTATACATTATTTAACATGAAAGTTGTTATGTCTGATGAAACTTGTTTCAGTACTTTTACTGTCAGAAGGGAAAAAAAATCAGAGGATATCACTGACTCCCCCTCTGGTTCAGATAGAGTTAAGAAATGTAATTTTAGGAGTTGCATTATTTTTAGTAACTATGATACAGACTTGTCGAAGCTTGTTATAACAGTAATCACTCAACCCCAATATTTATAAACGAAATTATTCCTACTGGAGCAAGATTTTTTTTAAGTACAGTTTTTTTTTATCTGTTCTGTGTGATGAAGGTTACTGTAGGCACAATTTTTTACGTCTCATAACAAAAGTACAGAGAAATTATTTGAATTGTAGGAGTTCAAATGTATCTACGAAACATACATTTTTTCTGCAAATTTTCAGGACCAGTGTGCATTACCTTTCTCAGTTTACAGTACTGTTAGATAATAATGTAAGAGATGAAACATCTTTCAATATCATTTACATTAAATGTTAAAAAAGTAACATAAACTTACTATTAACTTTCATGCTCAACTGCCCTTTTCCAGCAACTTCCATCATAAATTGCTTGCACTGAAAACGAGATATAAAATCCAGCAATCTCAGTGCTGTGAAAGTACATTTTAAATGTTATTTTTTTTAATGGAAAAGTAGATACAATATAGATTAATCACCTACCTACTTATAGCTAACACATAATATTCTAAAATTAATATTAATTCATTTATTTATACTTTAAAAGCAAGAAGAATGGAAATATACTCTTACTTTGAACGTGATTTTCACCGACTAATGAAAGAAAGGATTTCTAGGACTAAACTGTTGTTTTAAGGAAGACAATTTCCTACTTTCAACAGAATGTGAAATTCGGCATTATTAAATAACCAACATTGTGTAATAAACAATTAGAAAATGCAGTAGCAGCTGTATTGAACAATCTAAAAATAGTAAATGGTTTGAAATGCAAGTAAAAAACAAAAAATGTCACCCCCTACCCCTTCTTCAAGCATACTTTGCATAATGCATGGTATATATATATATTCTGCAGCCAATTAGCATAAATGTTGATATCCAGCCACACTTAACTGAATTTGCAGCTCCCTGGCCTACTCTGACTAACAACCGAGATATAGAAAAAAAACAGTCTCTAAAACAAGCTGTTAAAAAGAAAATCAAAATGACATCGCTATGTGCTAAAAGAAATTCTAAATAACTGTGTATTACTGAACAAAGCACTAAAGAATTGTTTTCCAGTTATAGTAAGTCCAATAAGCATACTTCAACTTTTTCCAACTTCAGTTTCAAAAAGTTGACGAAGCCCTGCTTCTTTCTCCCAAATACTGTTCTTTGGCTGTAAACAAAAACTCCTCTAGCAAGTAATGAAAACCAAATAATATTTATTGAACAACTTATTTACACTTGCCAACAGGACAACGAGTCAACCTGTACTCGATTATCTGCTTATTTTACATCGTAACTTGTCACCAAAACAACCAAGCGAACAAAACAAAGATTCACATTCATTTCGTTACTCAATCTGGTCCATGTGTCTGTGTTTCCATGTGCATATCTTCAAAACGAATAGACTGATGTACATAAAAATTTTAGACAAGATGGGAAATCAGTATGGGACAGTTCTTCCCAAAGTTGGTTAGGATCCAAATCTGGATCACTTTGAAGTAATGTTTCAGGTTAATAACTCTTTAAAATGAAATCGGATTTGTACCAAATTTCATGGCCATATTAAGATTAAGCCTCTTTATTATACTACAAAAAATGATCCAGATCTGAGAAAGATATTCCGAGTTTTCAAGGGTGAAATTTGACATTATTCAATATAAATGCATGCAATCTTGAAAAGGAGCAGCGGGGCAAGGGTTTGCAATCTCTCTGATTCTTCTTGTTTTATTTGATGTCAAGAATGCTGTTAAACGTACAAGACGTCACATGGTGTGATAATTACATGTAAAATCATGAATCAATGTTTAATAAATTTATTCACTTTTGATCGTGAAGAAAAGACTGATAAGAAAACAAAAAGAAAATAACATTCATAGCATACATCATAATAATGTATTTACAGTTCTGATTGTTCTCCTTGAAAGCAGGAGATTGTCAACAAAATATTAAGTAATATTTAACAATCAGATTTGTATTTCTCTCTCCTTCTATTAACACATATTAAGTAATATCTGATGAACAACCTATGCTAGAAATTTTATTAACTATACTTGAAGTGCTTATGTTGAAGATAAAATGAGAAAAAATCTAAAAATTCACGTTCTTCATAACATAACAATGTTTTGGGACAACAAGGGACCAATTGGTCCATCTCGGCTGTTCCATCCTCTAAACTAAAATAATCAAAAATTAAAATCTTAAAGCCAGCCTTTATCATTCATATACTTATCAAGCTTTTTCATAAACTCACTGCCTTTACAACATCCAAAAGCAACCCATTCCAAAGGCCAACCACCCTGTTTGAAAAATGAAACTGTCTTAGCTGAAGATGACTCCTACCTTGCGAAAATTTATATTTGTGGCCCCTAGTCCTACTATTGTCAGTGTTAAATATGAAAAAAGATGATGCATCAACATTATCAATTCCCTTTACAATCTTAAACACTTCAATCAGATTCCCCCTAACT